GAATTACCAGATATTATTTCAGTGACTGAAGTTTTACCTAAAAACATGAGATATGCTGTCAACAAAGCAGAACTTGATTTGCCGGATTATGAACTGTTTCCTGGAAATTTTCCTACAGGAGCAAAGCGTGGAACTGTAATTTACCTAAAGAAAAACCTAAATGCTGTTGAGATACATTTGGACTCTGACTTTAGGTGAATGTACCTGGATAAAGATCAACTTAGATGGAAATGACAAATTATTAATAGGATGCATTTACAAAAGCCCATCTTCATCGGAACTCAATATGAAGGCATTGAATGAACTAGTAGGCAAAGCCTGTGACCTTAAATTTTCACATCTCCTTATTTTGGGAGATTTTAACTTTCCAGGCATCGATTGGTCTTCATGGAGTACAAGAGATGACAACTCTGCAGAATTTCTGGAATGTATTAGAGACAATTACCTGCATCAGGTGCTAAATAAAAATACCCGACACAGACACGGTCAGGAAAGCTCTTTGTTGGACCTTATACTAGTGAATGACTGTAACAACATTTGTGATAAAGAATACTTAGACCCATTAGGATCTAGTGACCACAGTGTGATAAAATTCAAATATAGTTGCTACTTCAAGTATGAAAATACCAACTGTGAGAGATTGAACTGTTATAAAGCAGACTATGAAGGAATGCGCAAAGAGTTAGACATCGATTGGGATTGTATTATGGAAGGTGATGATGTGAACACTATGCTGGAAAAATTTATGAGCAGATTTGATAGTGCAGTAAAAAAGTTTATCCCCAATAGCAAACCTAGAAACACAAAGGGAAACATTCCACTGAGCAAAAATACAGTTAGGAGAATAAAAAGAAAACATCGACTACGGGAAAGATACATGGAAGACCGAAGCAAAGAAAAGCAAAGAGAATATTGTAAAGCCCGAAATAAAGTCAAGAGATTAACCCGCAAAGAAAGGAAAGAGAAAGAGAGACAAGTAGCAGAATCGGCAAAGACTAACAATAAAAACTTCTTGAAGTATGTTAACTCCAAAAGGAAGAGCAAAAGCGGTGTTTCAGAATTGCACGAAAAAACATCCGAAGGGACATTTGTGGCAAGTAAGGATCAGGACAAGGCAGAGGCGTTGGCGAAATTTTTTAGTAGTGTTTTTACAGAAGAAGATGTGAACTCTTTACCACTAGTTGATATAGTTGAAAACACAAGGTCGAATAATGATGAGCCGATTACTCAAGAAGAGGTGAAGAAATTACTTGATAGACCTTTATATATGATCTATAAGAAATCACTAGAGACAGGAGAAATACCAGATAGCTGGAAAGTAGCTATAATTACAGCTCTATTTAAGAAAGGTGACAAGAAGTCGGCATCAAACTACAGATCTGTCAGCTTAACAAGCATACTATGCAAGATGATGGAGAAGATTATTAGGAAGAGATTAATTAAGCATATGGACAGCTTAGATTTATTTAGTGACATTAGCAATTCGGGTTCCTGAGTGGGAGATCAACAACCTTACAATTAATTAAAGTACTCGATAAATGGACTGAAATCCTGGATAGAGGAGGCGTTTTAAATGCAGTTTATATGGATTTTATGAAAGCATTTGATAAGGTTCCACATGTTAGACTTTTGACAAAGATGAGAGCTTATGGGATATGTGAACAACTATGTACATGGGTCGAACATTTCCTGAGTGGACGGAAGCAGTGTGTACAAGTAAATGGACATAAATCGAAATGGCATAAAGTCACAAGTGGAATTCCACAAGGATCTGTGCTCGGGCCTGTACTGTTTGTGATTTTTATAAATGACTTACCAGAGTGTGTTGAGTCAGATGTATTCCTCTTCGCAGACGATACAAAAATATTCAAATAAATTACAGATGAAAACGATACTAAAGTGGTACAATCTGACCTGGACAAACTTTTCATGTGGAGCAAAACTTGGCTTTGAAAATTTCACCCTGACAAATGCAAAGTAATTCAAATACACAACAGTAACAAAATGTGTGACAGTATCCAGTATAGTATGAGAAAATATGAAGGAGGTGATACAACACTAAAGAATGTGGAGAGTGAAAAAGACATTGGAGTAACAATTGATAGCAATCTCAGCTTTGACAAGCATATACAAACGCAAGTCAACAAAGCCTGAACCAGATTTGTGGCCTAATAAGAAGAGCATTTATTCATCTTGATATTAAATCATTCTGTTTATTATTCAAAGCTTTAGTGAGACCACATATTGAGTATGCAAATAGTGGAGGGTCACCGTACAAAAAGAAGGACATTGAAACCATAGAGAATGTACAAAGAAGAGCTACTAGAATGCTGCCACAACTGAAAGACCAAAATTATGAAGAACGACTAAAGACTCTTAAATTACCAACAATGAAATACCGGCGTATGAGAGGAGATATGATTGAAACATTTAAAATCATCCATGGAGTTTATGACAAAAGAGTTACATCTACTTTATTTCAATTGAGTGAAACGCATATTACTAGAGGGAACAGTTTTAAACTAGTGAAACACAGATGCAATAGAGACGTTCGAAAATACAGCTTCACCAACAGAGTCATGGAACTGTGGAATAGCCTGCCAGACAATGTAGTGCTAGCAAAAAATGTACACCAATTTGAAAATAGACTGATAAATATTGGGAACACCACCCTCTAAAGTATGATTATACCCAAGAATATGGACCGCATACCAGAAAAAGACCAGTTATATTTCAGTAAGAGAAAGTAGAGCTGCCTATAGAGCACCAAGAGGAGCTGCGGGCAGAATCAACATAAGGTAAGGTAAGGTAAGGTAAGGTAGTAAAATTTGTGCGACATAAATGTATTTACAGCTTACTGAAGAATTGACACTATTGGACTATTGACACTCAATTTGTACTCTCAACAAGAAGATGAAGTCATTAACATATGTGCAAGATTCAAATGTATCATAGTGTCATCACTGTGGCGTAATAAATCATATTAAAATGTTATGCTGTCTTTTTCCTACTTTTGTTTTCTGATGATGTTCTGCGACTCCTCCGTGTAAGCAGCACGGTCCCCCTCCATCAGGCGGTACTGCCTCTGGAGTTTGATCAGCTCCTGCTCCTGGAGCCCCTCCATATCAGCATCGCTGTTGTCCGATCGAGCGGAGCGTGGGCGCGGCATCTTGTCTACAATAAATGTAATGAAACAAAGAATAAAAAATACAACAGCTATGGTAAAATGTTCTTAGCGATATACAGATATAAATAAAATTTAAAACACTGCTGATTTCATTAAAATTTGAAAATTTGTGAAAGCTTAAATAAACAAACCAAAAAAATCAAATTTGGGATATTGCGACAATGCCGCTAAAATTTGTCAATCGACAAAGAATTCAGTTACCTAAAATGTCAAACAAAATAAGTCTGTTTACCTTTTTGTTTATCAACGAGCACTTGCTGTTATGGCCGACAGATGAGTACCTGTTGCTAAGGAGCACAAACCGGATGTTCGAGAAAAGGACAAGTCGTACAAGAATTGCAACACGAAATCACGTACATGTACCACGAATATTCGTTAATAAATTAATGAACATTTTATCTCTCATGGAGTGATAATTATCAAATTTAAAAAAAAAAAGAATAGACTGAAGACTTCCATTCAAAATGGTAAGAGAGACAGATCAAGAAATTCGAATTTGAAAAAGGGAGGTCTGACCAAAAAAAGGAAGAAGAAAGATAGGCTGTACAGCTGTTGTAATTTAATTAACTTTTCAAATTCGACAGACCAATGTAATTTTTTTGTACAACTATACTCTTTGCTTCATTTTAGAACAAATGATTTTGGGCCGAGTTCCGACTCCCTAAAATCTGCCACATTGATTGATAGAATATCATTTTCCGTAGCTGACAAAACATATCAAGTTATTATCTATAAAGGTACATGTAAATCATTTTACTACTTTAATTAAATGAAAGGTATTTCAATGCAATAATATTGCTATTTAATAAAGTAGAAAAATCAGAAGTTTATTTTTTTTAAAGCAATTCAATTTTATTTAACAGTAAAAATTCTCTAGTCAAGATTTTTTTTCAACTTAATAACTTCTTAGATTGTTCCAATAATTGATTGGCACTGTGCACAGGCACTTGTTTCGGAAATAAATCTTTAACCCACAGTATATTTAGTGTTATTATTATATTATATGTTAAAAATTTATTTCCGAAACAAGTGCCTGTGGCACTGTGTGCCTTCACATTATAGTCATTACTTTGTTTTTAATTTTGAGTAAGTCATACAATGTTAGGTTGATCAATTATTGGAGCCATGTGAGAGAGAGACAGAGAATTCAAAATGACAATACCCCCCCCCCCCCACCCACAACCCCTAATAATAATTGCACATTTTTTAAAAGAATCTCCAAAGGGTCTCAATTATAAATCTGCATCAGTCCTCCAGGACCTTGAAGCTGATCTACATGTGTACATGTATATAGCTATTGTGACATAAGGCATATTGCATATGATAAAAAAAAAATCCTGAGTAAATACCAGGTAAGGCCATAAAAAAATTAATTTCTTGGTTCTCAGGCCCTTACTATCTCTTCCAGGGGTGCCTCACTGACCCTTTTTATTGCTAAATCAATAAAATAAAAAAAAATCAACAAATCACCTCCCTCATCATTTTTTGAGGTTTTTTTACAATGTATAAAGCTGCCTCATTATGTTTTGGGGGCAATAAAAAGTAAAAAAAAAATATGCCTCCCTCCCTCATCATATTTCTTGAAAAAAGGCCTGAGAACCAGGGAATTAATTTTGCATGGCCTAATTTATATTAGCTTTCTTAAATTGATAATTAAATTGAGAAGCTTGTGAAAACTTGTGAATTTGGAAGTCTGGAATTTTTTTGTTGTTGCTGACCTTTTAAAGCACAGACTTTTTTTTTTTATAAATCATTATGTACGATACAATACAGTGTCTTTTCTTAGTCTACAGAAAAAATATCAACATATGGATAAATTTTGATCAGGGTTTTTAATAAATTGTGTTCATACATACATATAGAATTTGTTACTAAACAGCTAGTAGATTCAAAACCAAGTATTAAACGACACATATACATGTACAGTGTCTTAAAAATCACACACTGTTCTACACACATACTACAAAGAAAAACAAGAAGCACCTAAAGGGAGAGAGAACTGCCTCTGGCACAGAACTTCACATCAAAAGTAAGTGTGCTCAACTTTGATTGCATAAAAAAATCAACACAGAGATGATGTCACTGGTGTTCTGATAAATACATCGAGACCTTACAAACTATGTATATAGGGATAAATAGATTTGTTTGTCTTAAAAATATAAAATAAAATAAAATAGGGCACTCAAAATTTTAAAACATTAACACAGATGATCCTCATGGCACTACAAACTGAAATAATCACAGACATTGTCACTTTTTTAAAAACATTAACTTTTGTCGATAAAGGCTACAGTTTATTTTGAAATCGTTCATTACATGTACTTGTAAATATACTATATAATATAAAGTTACTAAATCCATAAAAGGCTAAGGATTGTTCTTAAAGTCTTAATCACAAGTATTTGTAAATAAACTTATTCGTGTTGGTATCAGTTCTACAACAACTCAAAAAAGGGGGGGGTTCTCGGATCTGTCTTGCTTTTGGTCCCAACTACTTGACTGTACAGTGTACATGTATTTGAATTTTCTGGCAGTAATTTTCTGATAATAACTGGATATAGTATAATAGTAAGCTTCTAAATGCTTTGATACACATAAATGACACTTTGATATATAAATGATATAAAATTTTCATAAACAAAGAAAATTATCTAAACAAGAAAGTTCTCCTCTGACACACCAATCAATGAACATGTACACAGATTGTATCAAATACAACACAAAATTACAAAACAATATACACAAAAGTGGCCTAACACTGGAATCTTTTACCATTTAATATCATGAACAGTAATTTTGATGTACATTGATAAAAAAAGTCTTTTTTCTATACCATGACAAAACAAAATTTGTGGCTAAAATACAATAAATGAATGGCTTCTATACAAAGATAGTGAATGGCGCAGCAGGCTCTATCAATTTGATCTTTTTCAGTCATGTCAGCTAATAAGTAAATCCAAACATGCACACATAATGCTCAAAGGCAGTTTTAATGAAACTCAAATAAGGTACCTTTATGCTGACAAGAACTCGCAAGCATTATTACTTATGTAAACACATTATTCCAGACTCATAAAAAATCATTCTTGATCTCTTGAAAAAAATTCAAAATAGTATTTGATAATCAAAACTTATTCTACCTTGGAAAATAAAAAAAGGATATTATATTAATATGAAAAGCATCAGGAGGATTTTTATTTCTATCCATTAAAGAAATGGAGAAAAATGCTGCCATATTATTTTAACCATCTCTCCACAACACACACCCCAGGCTGAGGTCTCTCCTCCGTTCCACCTGCCCTATGTCAGAAGCAACCACAAGACTGTCTAATCTTCTTCACTGGGTTCTTCAGATTTTTTGGCTTTCTTGGACCTGTTCAGGAACTCTTTCCCTGCGGCTGCCGTTGTCTGCATTGTTCCTGCACGTTTCATTGCAGGCTTCTTGTCAGCAGATCGTAACTTCCTTCCCTCGTTAACATTTATATCGGGAACAACAAACTTAGCTACAAAATAAAAAATATTTGAAATTATAAAGCTTTTAAAAAATAACAAACCTTTCTCTATAGAAATTTAATGTACTGAAAAATTTCAAGTAATTATTAATTTTCTTTATTTAAAAATACCTTCTTCAATAGCCTTTTTGATTGTAGTAGACCGTTTGGGGGCACTGGGTTTGGATTTTTTAGCTTTTGTCTCAGCTCTTGTGTCACCTAACTTTTCCTTTCCTAGTAGATGGTCTTTCGCTTCCTTAAAAACAAAAAATATACTCATGAATCCTCCCTTTTTTAATTCTTACTTTAAATCTATTTAGTTTGGAAATTTTTTATAACTTGTCTGTCTAAAGAATTTAAACATTCTCATAAGAATATCATACCCGATTACATTCAACATGTAAATGTAAACAAACCTTGGCTGTAGCTGCCATTGTACCCTGTTTTTGCATTCTAGCTTTCTTGGGAGTGGGTGGAGCCTCTTTTGTAATTTCATCAATTTTCTTTTGTTGTCCTCTGGTCATGGCATCTGCGTCAGGTTTCTCATCTCCGAGCAATTGAGCAGCTTCCTAAGAGGAGATTTTTATATGAATGTTGAGTATCAGTGAGGATAAACAAGAGGCCCACGGGCCTTATAGGTCACCTGAGTATCATGTCACAACTTTCCAAAAGCCATGAAATTCACAAATTTTGAAGAAGGCACCATTGCTTATCAAAGGGCAGATTTCAAAGCATTAATTTATTTTTAGTCAAAGTACCCCCCTGGTACCCCGGACCCAGCGTCCCTGAAAGTATCTATTTTGAAAGAGGCCCCTTTCTTCATTATAAGGCCAGCATTTTTTTTTTGTTTAGGTTTAGTTATGAACATGAGAATAATAGGCTCCTTACCACTGGACACATAATGCTTACAAATAGGATAGTAAAACATTGCTTATTTCATCATCTGCCAGTTTGGGCCAGTTATATAAATTTTGTGATGTTGGTCAAAATATATTTTTAAAAATCAATTCTTTAAAAGTCTTTCAATATATCTTCATTTTTTTTAATATGTGTTAGGTGAATGTGTAGACATTATTCTAAAATTTAATCCTATCATAAAATAGACAGGGGGTATTGCGGGTGTAGGGTGAACATTTTTTCAATCAAGTGTAAAATAATTTTTCTGGCTGATACAAATGAAACTACAAGCCTGTATATATTTGTATATTCTTGCCTTAACAATTTCTTCCTCAAATGAACTGAACTTCTCCCATAGTTTTATTCATTACATCTGATGCATAAGCAACCCTTTTCTGAAGAATGATGCTTAGACTGTAAGCTATAACAGAGACCTAAACAATGTTGCTGCCCGCTGGCAATATGCAACAGCTAGCACGGGCAGTTTAAAACCTGGCGGAGGAAAATAATTTACAGACAGATACTTTTGAAACGAATACATAATTATCTCACCAGCATGTCATTGTGCAACAAAGTCGTCAGCATTTTATTTGTCCCTTGAACAGGTGAAACTTTTTGAATGGCACTCGTATTGATGAATTTTACACTAAACCAAGCTATCTTTCAGATCTCGCTTTTTTTACCCGCCGTTTCATCATAAAACCGGAAGTGCGAGTTCGTAAATGTGAAATCTCGATCCCGACTCAAATTTGACATCGGAAAGAAAAAAATTGTTTTATTTTTTTCTGAACATTCAAAACCTTGAGCGGAGGGTTTGTAAAACTGAAAATAAAATAAATCCTGGCCTTAAATATGTAATTAGATCATTAGCATATTAACCAGGATGTTCAAAGAATTCATGCATTTCACTATATAATCATTAGAGCCCCACCCTAAAACAAGAACCCCTGACCCTGGGGCCATAAAATTCACAATTTTGGTAGAGGCACTCTTGCTCATCATAACTATGTACTTAGTTAGTTTATTTAATACCCAGGAGCAGAGGAGAAGATTTTCAAAGAATTCATGTATTTTCACTATATATAATCAATAGAGCCCCACCCTAACACCAGAACCCCTGACCCTGGGGCCATAAAATTCACAATTTTGGTAGAGGCACTCTTGCTTATCATAACTATGTACTTAGTTGGTTTATTTAATACCCAGGAGCAGAGAAGAAGATTTTCAAAGAAATAATGCATTTTCACTACCTACTTATTTAGCCCCGCCCTAGCACTAGAACCCCTGACCCCAGGGCCATGAATTTTACAATTTTGGTAGAGGACTCATTGCTGATTACAATCATGCAAACAGTTTGACTGCTTGATGTCCAGGAGTAAAGAAGAAGATTTTTAAAGATTGCATTAATTTTAGTGGTTTTGGCCCCACCCCTCAGGCCCCAGGGGGGCAGGGATCATGAAATTCACAATTTTTGTTCCCCTTCACCCATAGATGCTTTGTGCCAAATTTGGTTGAAATTGGTTCAGTGGTTGCAGAGAAGAAGCTGAAAATGTTCAAATGTTAACGCACGACGCACGACGACGGACAAAAACAGATAGCAATAGGTCACCTGAGTTTACTCAGGTGACCTAAAAATTAGATTAAATATCTTGAATCCCTTATCTCATTCAATTGTACTTGAGCAGATTAAAATGATGAATTTAAAAAATGCCCTAATCTTAATTTCTGCCAAAAAACTACAGAAAAAATATTAATTTGGCAATTTTAACAAACTAAGACTTTGATTTTGCAGTAACAAATATTTGAGACTTTTAAAGGTCTACATTATTAAAATCAGTAACTAAAAATTCTCACGGTACCTTTGCAGTTCCAATCATAGTGACCCCCTTTGCTAGTCGACCTTTTTTAGCGGGCTTTTCCTCCTTTATCTCCTCAATCTTATGCTGTTGGCCTCTTGTCTTTGCGTCATCATCTGGTTTGTTTTTTCCTAGCAGCTGCTCTGCCTCCTGAAACAGCGATAAATACAATACAACTATTACACTGGCATGTATATGGGCATTTAAAAACAATAAAAAAAACACCTTCAAATATTAAAAAAAAAATATCCATTTAAGAAATATGAAGTAAGAATACTACACTTGAACAAATCTACTGATTTGTTATACATTATTTACTTAGTAATTACATGTACAATTAAACCTTGAAGCATAAAAACAATTATCGAAGGAGAAACACATTATCTATATATATGGGCCTATTACAGAATCAGAAATACTGAATCATTACACAACATATCATAGGCTTCGGAAGCAAATTAAAAGTGGGGGGGGGGGGGGGGCTAATTGAAAGTGGGGGACTAAACCAACAAAAAAAGGTATATCCCAATTTTCAATGTCTATATAATGTATATATTTGCAAAAAAAGTGGGGGGGACTAAGCCCCCCTTAGCCCTCGATCCCCCCCTTTCCAACGCCTATGCATATCAAAACATTGTCTTTCTGAATCACTGTACGGTTTATCTTACTTTTGCAGTGACAGCCATTGTTCCGTCTCTTTTGAGTGAGTTCTGTACAGGCTCTGGGTCCTTCAGTCCTTGCATCTCTAAAAGTTTGGTTTTACCCTCTGCCTCAAGGTAATCAATACCTTCCTAAAATTTATATAACAAAGCAGATTATGATATAATTAAATGAGACAGATGTATTTAAAAAATACTGCTTAATATACTTAATGTAAAACCTTTTTGCCTTTACTCTATGCATTGAGTTAATTCGTTGCCAATGATTGGACACCTCTTATTGTTCATGTTGCATAAAATAGCCAGATAAATGATTGAAGCTTAATGCACTTAAAGTATCAAATTTATGTTTATAAGACTTTTAAAAATGAAAATGCAATCTGCAATTACTTTCAAAATTCTACAAAAACATTGTAACCACAATATTAAGGCATTGTCCAAACAGTTCCTACTGAAAGAATAGTCATGTTTTAACATGCATATGGCTTTTACCCCTTCTACCCTTCCATGACCCGCCCCCAAGTCAAAATTAAGAACTTAAACCCCAATATTCTTCTCGAATTAAGGAAAGCATCGAAATCATTATGTCAGGCAATCAAACTTTGTTTTGCAAATACCACTGCCAAATTGTGTTTACAAATGTTGTTTAAACACTCTTTGGTGAGTTATGTTCCCTTGTATGGATTGAAACATAAAGCCGGTTTTTTCTCGACTGTTCTGAGTCGGCCATTTTGGATAAAATTAAATACGATACTTTATTACAAAAGTTACAATAATCAAATGATCAATATCGGTAAAATTACTTCGAATAACTTTCCCAGGTTATTTATGCATATAAACCAATAAGGCATACATACTGACACCGATATGAAAATCTTTACTATTGCGTATTTACAAATTACACTACCATATCAACAAAACGGCCATGCATGCAGGTGCCCTTCTTTTCTTATCATTTATCTAGGTTAAAACAACCACGATTGTTTATTTACCTTTGCAGTCACCACCATTGTACCTTCACGATGGAGGCTGGGTTTTGCTTCTGCCATTTTAAAGTTTACTTTCAGCCCAGAAAGTTGAAAAAGACGAAGTGAAAATCGCCTCCTGACCACGAGGAAAGGTCGACTCAGCAAATGCTGGCGTTATCATGTGACACTAATGCAGTAATTTGATTGGATAGTGATGTCGAGGTAAACAAAGCAGCGGGTAAAATGAAAACAAATGCACGTGTCAATTTTACACTCTTGGCATTTTGAGGAATTGAAGGTTTTACTGGAGTAACTTTTCATTTATGTTGCCAAAACTATTTTTTTTCACCATTTACTCTTTTAAACCTGCATAATTATAATTATTTTATCTTCCTGTTTAACATTATTATTAAGTAATGGATGAAGTATGGAGATATGAACAGTAACGAACAGTATATACACAGGCACCTGACGTTAATCATTTTTCTTTTAATAAAAAAATATACCCCTTATCTAATAAATTATTAGGTAGGAGGTATTCTTTATTCATATTTTAAACCAGCGGCCATAACATTCACAATTTTGAAAGAGGCGCCATTGTTCATCATAACTATACACTTAGCATACTTTAGTAATACCCATAGACAGAGTAGGGGAACAAAAAATGCATTTCAACTAATCATGCAGTAATATTCAGCAATAATCAGTAGAGCCCCCACCCCAAAAAACCCTGGCCCTAGGTCCACACATTTTACAGTTTTGGAAAAGGTACCATTGCTCATCATAAATGTTTGATTAATATAATGGAGCAGATTTCAAAGAATTAATTCATTTTCAGTATTAATTAGAGCCCCGCCCCGTCCTCTATGATACCCCTGATCCAGGGGCCTTGACATTCACAATTCTGGAAGAATGATCCATGCTCAGCATAACTATGTATGTAGTTAGTTTGTTAAATACCCAGGAATTTAACAGAGGAGAAGAATGCATTTCACTAATATAATCAATATACCCACCCCCCTTACACCAGAACTCCTTACCCTGGGGCCATGAAATTCACAATTTTCAAAGAAACACCCTTCTTCATCATAACTATGTATGTAGTTAGTTTGTTTAATATCCAGAGAAGAAAATTGTCAAATTAATGCATGTTCACTATATAACCAATACAGCCCCCCATACACCAGAACTCCTTACCCTGGGGCCATGAAATTCACAATTTTGGAAGAGACATTTTTGTTCATCATAACTGTACATTTTAGTGGTTTTGGCCCCAACCCTCAGGCCCAAAGGGGGGGAGGGGCAATCCCATGAATTTCACAATTTTTGTTCCCCTTCACCCATAGATGTCATATGCCAAAAATTGGTTGAAATTAGCTCAGCGGTTCCAGAGAAGAAGCTGAAAATGTTCGAAAGTTTGCGACCGAATGACGACGAACGATGACGGACAAAAACAGATAGCAATATACGTCACCTGAGTGATTCAGGTGACCTAAACACTTATTAAAAAATATGTTTATATCAAGCTCAAGGTCACGTCAGGTCGTTCCCTCTTCTCATCATAATTTTTAAAAAAAAAATAAATAAATTGTGTTTTATATGGATATAAAACAGATCAGCCAATAAAGAGATGCCAACAACATATGAAAATCAGTTGTATTTCCTTCTATACTCGTTTAACAATACAGGACTGAAAAAAAGAATGAAATAAAAGAAATGTTAAAATCATTAAAGAATGAAGCTTATTACCGGTATATACCCCCCGCTTGAAAAGTGGGAGGGTATATAGTAATCGGTATTTCCGTCCGTCCGTCTGTTACGCTTTGGGGTACCCATCTCTTATCCGCAACTCCTCTCATACCACTGAAGGAAATTTAATGAAACTTTCACAGATTCTTAATTACATATTGCCATTGTGCACCTCCTATTTTACTTTTTGATCTGACATATTTTTGATTTTCCAGAGCAAAACATGGACACTGCCATTATATTCATATGGGAGGCGGGGGTATCATTTAGTGAGCTCATTGCTCACAGTACCTCTAGTTTTAACTTATATTATACGATATAACATAACTTGGGGCAGTTGACGCTTTATAAACCGCGAAGCGGTTTATGAAAAAGCGTAAACTGCCCCAAGTTTTGTTATATCGTATAATATAAGTTGAAATAAGCTTCATTTCTTATAATTTAATTTCAGGGCCGACAATGAGACAATTTTCCCCCCAGAATAAGGCTTCACATTGACTAGATTTTAAAAGTAACGTCAAGCGGAGTAATACTTTTTTTGACGTAACTCATTGTGACGTAGGCAAGTTATGTTATACAAAATGGATAAAATCTTTTATCCAATCAAATGACGTGTTACAAGTAAAATTAAATTATTACAATTTATTGTTATAAATATTGAGGTATAAAATTTTATTTTTAAACCACTGAAAATTTCTTTCTGAGTTCTATTTAATAAAACAAAAAATCCTTTTCACAGAAAACCCCATGTTTTTTTTTTCATTTTGTTCCCACAAAGAAATTCGCATTTAAAGGAGGCAAGATCACTACTTCGAGCTGAAAAGGAAGATGAAAATGGGGGCGGTTGTGAAAACATAAACAGCTGAATAACCTATATGATTATACTCCCGCTTTAAAATTGGAAGGGATACAGTGATCGGAATGTCCCTACGTCCGTCCGTCTACCTGTACGTCCGTCCGTCTGTCTGGTACATGTACGCTTCGAAACATCTAGTGAACTCAGTGCTCACAGTACCCCTAGTTTCAGCTGTGCATTTGATATGTGGAAAATCAGTCTTTACATTGTAAAGTTTTCAGATGGATTCGGAAATTCAAAAGGAAAGGAAAAGTACAGTGGGAAGATCGCAGTCAAACTAGTCGATTAAATTCTGTGTAGAGACACATAAATATCGATGCTGTTAGGAATATACTACCGGAACATGCCAGATTTACATTGACAGACATTGCTAAAACACAAAATATTTTATCAACACACAGTTTAGAGTTCTGGAAAAGGAAATAAATCTATTAATTTTATCAGAAAGGTGCTTTATTTCCTAACAAAGGTTCGAGAAAACACGCTTTAAACTTGCCAAAGGTTTATATAATTTTTTTTTAACAAAATGAAAATTAATTTTGATAAATTTGAGCGTTGGATGACGAAAGATGAATGCACTTTGTATAGCTGAAATTGGAGACCAATAATGAAATATGGATTCAGCAAAAAAATAGTCTCATTATTGCAAAGAGAAGCAAGGATTCCAGATGTGTTATTACATGTAGTTTTCATTTTATTCAAGATGCCCAGGAAAAAATGTGAATACCCATAACAGAAGGACCATCATTGATAACTTTTGAGGTACATGTGCACAAGAAAAGGTTAACCAGATTTCCCCCAACGGAAATTCTCATACCGGTCCCCATGGCAATTTAACGCAAACTAAAGGTACTGTGAGCAATGAGTTCACTAAATGATACCCACCGCCTCCAATACTATACGGTTATAATGGCAAAATCCATGTTTTGATCTGGGAGACCCGAAATACATATAAGTGTAAGATCAAAAAGTAAACAAAGAATCTGTGAAAGTATCATAAAATCTTATTCAGTGGTATAGGCGGAGTTGCGGATAAGAGATGCGTATCCTTCAACATTAAAGAATGGCCATATATACCCTCCCGCTTTATATACAAGTACTGTATATTATGGAGAGAACGATCATAGGCATTTTCTGCACTGGGAAACACAAAATATGTGTCCGACCAAAAGTAATACAGAAAGTGCACAATGACATTTTGTAACACTATTCTGTGAAAGTCTCATTAAATTTCATTCTGAGGTAAAAGAGGAGTTGTGGATAAGAGATGGGTACTCCAAACCGTAACAATGTGAGATCGGAATTTTTATTCCAAAAACGCATGAAAACGAAGATTAAACAATATCAGATATGTCATGAAAAGTGGTATTCATCCTCGTCTTTTGGATGTCTCTAAAGATAAGTATGCTGGGCTTTTCTTGTCATGAGTACAAAGACATTCATGAAACTAGTTAGAATCTGCTTTATGTGCTTATTTTCAGATGACCCTTTGAACGATTTTTTGAACCACCCTCGTGGATTACACATACGATCAGGATAAATTGGTCCATCCGACAAAGTAGGCAACATTTTTATTCCCCCGCTTGAAAAGCATGAGGGGTCTATAGTGATTGGGAGTCCGTCCTTCTGTCAAGCTGTCTGTCTGTCTGTCCGTTACACTTTGGGGTATCCGTATCTTTTATACCACTAAATTAGATTTTCTAAGTCTTTCACATCTTTCGGAGTTGCGGATAACAGATGGGTACCCCTCAATATTATAGAAAAATTGCCAGTGTCCATGTTTTGATTTGGGAAACCTAAAATAAGTGGCTGATCAAAAAGTAAAATAGGAGGTGCATAATGTCACTATGTAAGACAAATTATGTGAAAGGCTCGTAAAATTTCATTCATTGGTAGAAGAGGAGTTGCGGATAAGTGATGGGTATTCCAAAGCGTAACGCACGTACAGACAGACCGACGGACATCTCATCACTTTATACCCACCCTGCTTTTCAAGAGGGGGTATAATATATTTTGTATGCTTCACGGAATTCTTTCAACAAAAATTTCCAAGAAGATTGTCGGTTATTTTTAACATATGTAACCAACAATGAACACGAGGATAAAATTTAAAATTCTTATACCCTGAAATATCTTTAATTATAACCCCTCTCCCCGCTTGAAAAGCAGAAGGATTTCATTCAGACATATCATTTAAATATATCAACGACGTACTGTCAATGAACAATGGTAATTTCCATTCTTTTGTCGATACGATATATCCTGGTGAGCTTGAGATAAAAGATACCACAGAGTCTGACACGTCTGTTTCATACTTGGAAATCTTACTTGAAAAAGACATAAAAGGTAATCTAACAACCAAGCTCTATGATAAACATGATGACTTTAACTTTTCTATCGTCAACTTCCCTTACATATGCAGCAATATACCTTCATCACCTGCATACGTAGTTGTTTCGAAATGCAAGGGCATGCTCTAGGTATGAACAATTTCTAAAGCGAGGTAAATTATTGACAAACAAGTTGATGAAATCATAATATCAGCAGTCTTGTTTAAAGTCATCATTTAGTAAGTTCTATGGTCGATACAATGACCTTGTCAGCAAATACAATTTAATTCGAATCAAATACTGACTGACGTTTTTCATACTTATTGTTAGTCTACTATTTATACACTGAATTGACGAAGGATTTTTCTGTTATTTTCCCATCATGACAAGAAGCACACGGCGGGTGTAACAGGTTGGCAGGGGATGCTCACGCCTCCTTGGCACTTGATCCCACCTCTGATGTTTCGGAGGTCCGTGTTTGCTCTGCTCCTGTTTTGTATTGTTTTATGGACTTTTGATCTTGAACAATGTTCGTTATCTCCATATGTTTCATATATATAAGGACACGGTTATTCTTTCTCTAATATTGAAGGGTACCCATCTCTTATCTACAACTCCTCTCATTCCACTGAATGAAATTTAATGAGACTTTCACAGAATCTTTGTTACAAAGTGCCATCGTGACATCCTATTTAACTTTTGGATGGGACACATACATGTATTTTGGGTTTCCCAGAACAAAACATGGACACAGCATTCTTTCTGTAATTTTGAAGGGTACCCATCTCTTATCTCCAACTCCTCTCATACCACTAAATAAAATTTAATGATACTTTCACTGATTCTTTATCACATAATGCAGTTGTGCACCTCTCTTTTACTTTCTAATCTGACACGCATTTTGGATCTCACAGAGCAAATCATGGACTTTACCATAATAACCACATAGGAGGCAGGTTGTGTCATTTAGTGAGCTCATTGCTTACAGTACATGTATCTCTAGTTATCATAAATTTCAAAGACAAACATCATAAAATACACAATATTTATTAAATCGAAATACAGTGTATATTCACTGTTCTCAACAAGTCATATCAGCCTTACTTCATATTTACTCCGTGTACGGTGGTGGTGGATCCATGTACCTCGGTGGATTGGGGCCTCCACCTACAACAGTAGATATAGGAAGTGGTTGTTATCAATCTTCAGTTCTTAGTTATGTTGTGATATGTTCATCGACGCAAACCACGGCCAAAATGTACGATCCTCTCCTATTGTATTAGGAGAAGCTATAAGTGGACTCCGAACCGTGGCTTGAAACGATGTGATATTCTATATAATATGTATTATAATTTAAATATAAGGGTGATTTATAAAAGTATGCACTGAATACTTTACCAGTTTGTGGACTATATCCACTATCCAAGGGCGGAGCTGATGGGTAGAGTGCATTATGCGGTGTCTGGTATCCTCCTTGCTGCTCGGGCACCCCATTACCACCAGGAGTTTGAGAATTTGTTACATTAGGTGCGTGCTCTCTTGGATCATGAATTAAGAAAGGTAACATCATCAATCGTTCATTGCATTCTTTGACCAAGCTTGGCATTCGACATAAATCCACTATCCATCCAATCCCAAATAACCCAAATGACATGAAGTACAAAACTCCCCACACGTACCGACGTAAATAGAAATGATGAAATCCCAGGAAACCTAACGGAAACCAAAGAATATAAGCATCGTCTAAGTAAACTTTTGATGGTATTGGAGCTGAACTAGTATTTCGTAGTTTCTCATTTGCACGATTTACAAGAAAAGGTAGCCGAAATAGATCTGTAAACCATCCGACGCCCATCAGACCAAAGGTGAAGAAATAAGCAATTCCAAAGAAATACCGGCCCAGATAAAAGTGATGTGCTCCCAGAATTCCCGGCAATGGTAGAATGTTCAAAACGTAAGCCATTAATAGGGAAAACTCCTCGAATTTGTCCATTCCACTCCTGTGTTTTTCATTAGTTTTCTGAACAACTGAGTACAGACGACAACAGTCTATTAACCACCCTATTCCAAACAGACCACAGGTGAAGAAATAGAGAAATCCCAAGCTCTTGTTACGCAGGTAAAAATGATGGAAACCTGTATAGTTAAAAAACAGAGATCATTCTACACGATATTAGAATTCAAGAACTTTCAGAAGTTTATAACATTAATTCTTTATGCAAAAAGTGTAAGGAGGATGGAACTCTAGTCTTACCTAACAAACCAAAGACAAACCACAGAAGGTACGCGTCATCTACACGCTTGTCCTCAGATGGAGGTGATTGTGGATTTTGTAAGCGTTTGTTTGCATCATTTACCAGACATGGCAACCTGAAGAAATCCACGAGAACGCCCACTCCCAAAAGTCCAAACGTGAAGAAATAGAGGATCCCAAATCCTGGTCTGCGGAGGTAAAAGTGGTGAAATCCCAAAAGTCCAAATGGAATGGCCAGCATGTAAGCTTCCAGGATTGATTTTGGAGAAAAACGGGGACGCTGGTTGGGATAGGACAGCGGTGGATATGACGTCATAACATTTTGTGGTGTTGATTCCACACGTTCATATCTTATTCCATTGTACTGGTTTGCTCCCTTGTGTTCTTTTGTTGACATCTTTCATAAACTGGCTAAAACAAACAACTTTAATGAGAGAGAGAGAGAGAGAAAATGTAAGTTTTAGACAGGTATTCCTTTTATTACTTACCTCTAGATTTTACTTTTTGTTTATAAATCTCACAACTTAACAATCGTCGTTTCAGGAAGTTAATATAGGCCCTAAAGCGATTTACATCACATGTCGCTTTAAACAATAGCTTATCAGGGAACAACATCTAAATAAAAGGTCACGCCATGTGTAATGTGTATGTGCATTGAGATAACTAGACTAAGTGTCCTCAGCAAAATAAAAAAAAAAATTCAATTTAAGATTTAAATTGAATATGATACATTTTTTAAAATTTTATAGAGGGCACTAGTAAGTAATTCACAAGACTGCGTTAAAAATATACATTTCTGGAAAACGGTTAATATATAATAACAAATCTAATACTAGAACCTTTTCTATAGAGGATTCGACATTTCTTACGTAACGAAGACGGGTTTTCTTTATCTAAATAAAGAGAACTTAATGTTTTTATTTTGAATTTACATGATAAGCACAGAGGAAGTTATATACATAATATACCGGTATTACATATCCCTTCTGAAAATTACCAGTATATCAGTTGATTAATGAACACAGGTAAAAGTTGAATTCTAGTCCTTTCGAATTCAGTACTTAGAAAATTTTTACATGCATTCAAACCTTATCTTATTTAAAGAATTTCCTTTTTCAAAAATGTTGTTCTGAGATAAACAAACTAATTTAGCCCATGGTTACTCTTTAAAAAATAGATTGATTAAAGTCCATTAATTAAATGAAGTACATGTAATTAATTCTAATGCTTAAATGAAATACTGGGATAAACGTTGCACCCACATATAGACCTAACGAAAAGTTAATTTAAATACATGTATCCCTGAATTTCCTTAACGATGTTTTTGGTTTTATCTTATCTACCTACATGTAGTTTCCAGGAAGGAAATATCAATTTTCATTAAGGAGGAATAATCAAAACTAAAAAAGTCAGTTTGATTCGGAATTCATCTGATACAAAATATAAAATGTGCGTCTGGCTTTGGGTAAGTGTGATTGTCTTAACTTATCATGCCCCCCTCGTACTCTTAAAAGAAAAATCTAACAAAAGAATGTCTCTCTTTTCTCAATGGAAATACTTAAAAAAAATAGTGAATATTCTAAAAACATATTTTGAAACTCAAAGGGGAAAAAATATGCATGTGTTATGCAGAATTTAATTTTGTTCAAAAGATCTCTAAACTTATTCAAATTCAATGCCAATCATTGATTAACATCTTTACTACTACATGAATATAATAAAAAAAAAATCGTTCTTTGATATAAAGAAATCGGGAGATTATATCTGAATTTTACATTAAATATTACAAATATATAATTTTGAACGTATTTTGCAGAATGCTTCCAATCATCTTGCAAATAGATGAATAAGCTGCTAAGTAATTTTGAGAGCAAGGAGAAGTAAATCACAAAACGCCGCTGTTTTTTAAAAACCCTTTTTAATCCCGAGGGTGAAAATGGAAATGAAAAAAAGAAGCTTATTACACACCTATATACAGGATACCACGAAGAAGTCTTACTATAAAACTCAAAGGATGAAAAAGCGCATGAACATTCAATTGTTCAAAGAATCTTTATAGTTGGTTAAATCTAATGTCATGTCTATCATAGCAATATCTTCATTAGCAGTACTCTATAAATAAAATAAATTTGTGCTTCATTATGAAACAAGCAAATTCAAGGAATTGTGGTCCCCCGCTTTCGGTGTCTTTTTGGGTGAGATGTCATTTTTTATGACACATTGTGCGTAATATGAACATCCTATCATATGTCATTTATTTTGAAATATTTAATCATCACTGAACTCCAAGGTCAAGGTCAAAGGGAAAAGTTTTTGGTATTCAATGAAAGGTCTTCTCACAAAGATTACGTATGTAAAGTATGAAAAGCCTAGCCCTTACCATTCAAAAGTTATGGCCAAGGTTAAAGTTTTTATATGTACGAAAAATTTCCAAGGTCAAAAGGTCAAGGTTGTTGGTATCCAATGAAAGGTCTATTCACAAAAAAATATATATATGAAATATGAAAGTCCTAGTATCTATCATTCAAAAGTTATGGCCAAAGTAAAAGTTTGGAATTTTTGTGTAAAAGGGGTCAAACTTCAAGGTCAAGGTCAATATTTCAAATTGGTGGTATCCACAGAAAGGTCTTGCCATAAAGAATACATATGTGAAAAATGAAAGTCCTAGCATCGGCAGTTCAAAAGTTGTGACCAAGGTCAAAGTTCTTGAAAAAAGTCTTACATGTACTCAAAGGTCAAGGTCAAAGGGTCAAAGTTCATGATATTTAATGAAAGGTCTTCTTACAAAGATTACATATGTGAAGTATGAAAGCTCTAGCCCTAACCTTTCAAAAGTTATGGTCAAGGTTTAAGTTTTTTATAAGTACGGAAATATCCATGGCCGAGGTCAAAAGGTCAAAGTTGTTGGTATCCAATGAAAGGTCTTGCCACAAAGAATATATATGTGAAATATGAAAGTCCTAGTTTCTGCCTTTCAAAAGATGTGGCCAAAGAAATGTTAGGATTTTTTGTGTAAAATTGGGTCAAACTCCAAGGTCAAGGTCAAAAGGTCAAATTTGGTGGTACCCAAAGAAAGGTCTTGTCACAAGGAATACACTTGTGAAATATGAGCTCAGCTAAATCAAAAGTTATGGGCAAGGTTAAAGTTTTTGTGACGGACTGACAGACGGACAGACTGACGGACAGACGAATGAGATTTAATGTCCCCCTGCTTTCGCGAAAGCGGGGGACAAAAAAAATTGGGAGAGAACAGTTTTTAGCGTTTTAAATATTATAAACTTTATAGCTGACAAAAAATTTAAATCAAAACTTTTCCTGCCATAAGTGGTACATTGTATATAATTATTTTCGACAAAGTTTTCACAAAATCCAGAAATAGAACCCGGAATAATAATTTAAGTCTTGTATGACTTTTTTGAAGTACATTTTTTTATTGTTATTGGTACAAAATAATAATAATGTTTCAATATTTTTAAACAAATTGTACGGAGCGGGATTACTTATGTCAAAAGAGTATGACGAACTTAACCTTTACACATGACTTGTCTGTGCCTTCAGCATACTCATCTTAAGGGATGTACCTAACGCACTGATGAATAGCGCTCCCCATGACATATGTACATTTCATTGTAGAGTTTTCTTCTCATTGTTTCCAGGGCTTTTTGGATTTAAAAAAATCTTACAACGACTAAGATTTAGCGAATATGGAGAAGGATTAAACTCTGTAAACGTTCCTTTCTTCAAAATTGCGTTTACGTCTCTATGCTTATTTATGGCAGCGTTGTAAGACACAGGAAAAATTAACTCGGGATCCGGTTTTTGGATTCCTTCACAGAAAAGCTGCTGAATTTTCCTCCATGCGATTTTAACATAAAAACTACCTTTGTTGGGTTTTTCCATTGGGTTGAGGTACATGTTATGGCGTGCCTCTAACGGAAGATAAAAGACGTATTTGGAACCCTTGCATTTCTTTCTGTTTCCACTTATTATTGTTCTTCCTTTTTGCCTATTAATGTGCACAAAAGTTTTAACTCATCATACTCTTTTTTAAAAATAAAATTTCTTCTTCAACACATCATTGGCACACTTAACCCGTGTTTTCTGTTAGGAAACTGGATATTAAGGAGATAACCGGCATCCATCTGATAAAAAAAATTTTAGATTCATATTTCCTTTGTCAGAAATCGTTAAGCAGTGGTGATGATTTGTTTAGAGTCGTGGCAATGTCTTTCACTGTAAATCTGGCATTTACCGATATCAAGTTGCTCACAAAATCTACATTCGTTCGTGTCCAAACAGATCTTGATCCACCAATCTTGTGCAGCATCCCTTTTCCATAAGTGGAGTTTTTTCAATCCATCAGAATACTGTATAGCGTAAAAGGTTTGTCTTTCCATATACCAAAACTATATCTTTCATATTAGTTCTTCAACTTTTTTTTGTAATGAAACGTAAATTTTACATACATGAGCGCCCTCATTTTCATCCTCATGGAATAGGACATTTTTAAACAATCTTCGGCTCAGTGTAGATACCATGGTAATCTTGAAAATTAATTTCTTTGCAAAGATTGTAGGAAAGAGCATTCGGTATATGGTAATTGTGAGTTCTTTTATAGAACTTCTCAATTTAAAAAAAAAATAATAATATGATAAAGCGTATGTTGCATACATTATTTGAATGACTCTCGTATCTACAACCGAAACTCAATTTTGCCTTGAAACTGAAATTCGTATCTACATTGTACATGTGTATTAGAATATTTCTCAAATATGTGTTTCTTGTAAATGGCTTGAATAAACTTTTAAAATTAACATGTATTCAATCTCATTGGACATTATAAAAGTTGCTCAAGTCATGCTCAAGAGGCTATGTCGAGGAATGATCGGAAAAACTGTTTGTTTTTTTTAAAGAGGAAATGAGAGGTATAAATACATGTAAGGGCAATTTTATAGAGGGAAAATTGCTTAAAAAATTCAATGGATTTTGTTTCAAGTAACATTTATGATAAATTGTAAAGATTATCAACTTTGAAATAAGAGTTTACAAAGCATTACATGTGGAACTCTGAAATTTACAGGCTGTTAACAGACATGTAGTTTAACCCCAGCCCCAAGGCCTTTTGTTTAGATGCCAATCCCCGACCTTACAAAGCTAAGGTCTTGATGCGTTTGCTATTCTCTAAATAATCTTAGATCCGCTTAAAACTTTTATGTAGGTTAAAATTTTTCTCCCAAATTGTGTTAATTGTACTCTTATGTACAGTTACCAAACTACTTATAGATATGATATATACTTGTATGGCTGACTCGCTGACTACAGATAACCGTTAAAACTCGTATTTAGAAGAGACATCTTGGCTTAAGAAAACCTACCAACTTTGCTCGTTGCTTTGTAAAAAAAAAAACCTGCTTGGTTTTCCTTAAAAAAGTCAAGATGTATGCAGATTTTAAAATTTAATCTCAGTTAGCCTTAAATAGATTTAATAGCCAGATCGCGGTTCTGCATAAAAATAACGACCATTAGTGAAGTTATCTATACTCCGATATGTATCCTATTTTATCGGTCACATACACCCCCTTACTATATTTATAGTCACGCGAGGAAACTTTAAATCTAAAATTGAGTAAACACAGGAGATATCAAAAATAAGTAAAAACCGTAATACTGGTAAGTAAATTACGAAAATATTGTTAATTATTCTATTTTTTATCAAGTAAACGCATGTTATCAAAATAAAAGCTCAACTAGCAGTCAGGACGATAGCAACCAAACTTTGACGTACATGTATGTGTAAAACTGAAAATGACCTCATTACAGCTATTTTTCCGTCCTCCGTGTGAATTTTAATGTTTAAATTCTTTTAGAATAATCTAAGTACTTTAAAAATTGGTGGGCGTCTTCGAATTAGAGTTATCTTTCTTTTCATGGAAATTGACTCATATTTATATATATATTCCCTCGTTGTAGATGTCGTCCTCGGAGGAAAATGGTCAGTCTAAGTCCGATCAGGACACGGACAGACACACTGTACCCATAGGCTCTACCGGCCTCTCTATCAATCTCACCTACGTCAAAAGTCTTCTAGGTATCTTCGAAGCAGCCATGATAGTGAGTAATTAACCATGCATGTTTTTGTTTCAATTTCTGTTTTTATTCATTTTTAATTTTTTTTTTTATTTTCACGATACATGTAAGTGAACAAAATTTACAAAATGTTCATTTAGCATTCATTAACAAGCTTAACTTATATTAATTGATAATATAAATTTATAATATTTCGGATAGTTAGTTTTGCCATGTGGTTTTCTTTAATTAATGCTGAACTATATGTAGGTCACACGATGAATTTTAAATAAGGCAGTAATCAGAAAACGTGTGTGGTTCATAACATCAAGTTATGCACAATTTAAACCCAACTACTGATTTATACACATTTTTAGAGTACTATTGATACCTCAAAAAGATTAAAAATCTTAAAAATTCCAATTCCTATAGTTTAGAATTTTTCTATCGAAGATTAATATTTATGAATATGTATCTATTTTAAAGTACTTGAAATATTTAAAATGTGTTTATTTTTTAAAGACAGTGATGTCATACGTTTTCTCCCTCAGATTCTATCGCTCATTTGTTTGATATGTGCTGGAGCGGGGGCTAATTTAGCCTGCGACTATTCCTACGGGTCAAACTATGGATTCTATGAATTCGTGGCGGGCAGTGTGTTCTTTACAGACTTCATCAACTACATAATATTCGCCATCAGTATTGACGAGAAATGGTGCTTAAGACTGGTGCCCTGGCTCATCTGGGTAAGAATGGTGTATCCATAGGGCGAACAATTGTTACTCTGTTCCTTTTTTTTCACTTTTTTTTGGACAAAACTTTGCAAGTAAAATATTTTTTTATTGAAATAAAAGTGAATTGTTAGCGAAAATGTACAAAATGAGATACATCAAACATATACATGTAGTTTTTTATTTCTCAAGTAACTCAATTTTTAAGGAAAATTTCAGAGTTAGTTCGTTAAGTTCTTCCCCCTTGTAATAAGGGGAAAAAATACTGCACTAGAATTTTATCTGATGAATCTTTAAAGCATTCTTATTGAGATAAGATTTTAGCATTAATATACTATGACAGCACTGTAAATGTATCTTTTACAGCATTTCGTCGTGGGTGTGATCTTCACGTTTCTGTTTTTCATTGCGTCCCTCGTGATGGTCACCCACACCTGCGGACAAGGGGGCTACGCTGCAGCGGCGGTATGTATTTATACTCATACATTCATACCCCCCCCCCCTTTTTGGATCACCTCGCCCTTTCCGCCACACACTTAATATTCCCATGTGCGACGGAAAAGGACTTGCAGGTGTCAGATTCAGCCCCCCCCCCTTGTTTTATAATGTTTAATAACATCATCAACGTTTCTTTTTATAAGAATTGTTGTCAGCTTTAAAAAGTTGTTACAACAAGTAACATTCAAAATTAACAAAGTTGTAAAAGAACAATAAATCTATGTTTTATTTGTGTATTTATAATGAAAACATATACGCATAATCATAAGAATATATAGAGCATCAAATAGGAAATTGTATGTTTACCCGTTTCTTATTGTTTTTCGTAATTTAACTACTTTTATAATCCAAATGCTTTTAAAGAAGGATATATTTCTCCTTACCTTTGCAGGTGTTTGGTTTTATAGCCACTATAGTGTCGGGGGTGGACACCTTCTTTTGTCTACTTGCTCTGCGTCAGGACCACGCTCCCACCGACAACAAAGTCCTCAACATTCTGGGGGTCCCTCGTTCCAGCAGCGCGTCCCCCCAAAGTCCACAATACGATTCGGAGAGTGTACCGGAATCTCCTAAATATTGAGAGATTTACTTTTAGACTTATTTGTTGAACAAGAAACCAGTGAAAAAATTCTGTCTTTGAAAGGATGAACTTTTGTTCAGGTGAATGGTCACTGTACGTCAAACTAAGCATAAGTTGTGTATGAATTATGTTTAGGATTATGTTATGATGTGCCTTATAGGTTTATATACATGTGTGTGTATTTGTTTGAAAAGATTTTATAACATGAATACATGGAAATAATTTGTTGAAGATGAAAAAAAGGACTTGACTTAAATTTGTTTGTTTTTTTCATGAAAACTGAAGTAATACTCATATATAAATCTTGTACGCAATTGTGAAAATATAAGAATGACACAAAACCATTTTTGGATAGTTCATAGAGCATTCAACAATTATATAAAAAGTTTTCTTTCCACTTGCGTTCCATACCCCCGAAACTCTCATCTACCGCCATTACATATATGTATATGTTCTATGTTTGATGTGTGTAACATGTATCTCTGACAGGGTTAGCAACAGTTAAATTCTTTTTTTGTTGTTGTAATAAGGTTCAGCAACAAATTGGTGGAAGATCTACATGTCGTTAAAATCGTTTCTAAATTTTAAATGTCAATTTGTAAGTCCAACATCTTTTTATATTGATTTCTGAGTATGTGTTCTTGTGCTGGAAAGTGATTTTTAACAAAACTAGAGGTACTGTGAGCAATGAGCTCACTAAATGTTTATAATCATAATGACAAATTCCATGCTTTTCTCTGGGAGACCCGAAATAAGTATCAGATCAGTTAACAAGAGGCCCATGGGCCACATCGCTCACCTGAGAAGCTTTGGCCATTCTGTTCTTTACCAGATTTCCCCCTTGTAATACATATTGTGACCCCACCCTACCCCACTAATCATAATTTAAACAATTTGAAATCTTCACTACCCCAGTATGCTTCCACATAAGCTTCAGCTTAGGTTTTATTTTTTTTTCAGATATATTTCTATGTAAAACATTGATTCCACATTGTGCCCTACCCCTGGGGGCATGTTTTTTGTTACACTGATGTAAGTTTCAGCTTTTCTGGCCCAGTGGTTCTTGAGAAGAAGATTTTCAAAGATTTTTCCTATATATTTCTATGTAAAACTTTGATTCCCAATTGTGACCCTGTCTAACCCCCGGGGGTCATGATTTGAACAATTTAGAATCTACACTACCTTAGAATGCTTGCACATAAAGCTTTTTGACCCAGTGGTTCTTGAGAAGAAGATTTTCTAAGATTTTTTTTCTATATATTTCTATGTAAAACTTGGATTCCCTATTGTGGCCCCGCCCTACTCCCTGGGGTCTTGATTTGAACAAAATTGCTTAAATAAGTTTCAGCTTTTCTGGCCCAGTGGTTCTTGAGAAGAAAATTTTCAAAGATTTTTCCTATATATTTCTATGTAAAACATTGATTGATCATGATTTGAACAATTTAAATCTACTGTGCTTCCACATAAGTTTCAGCTTTTCTGACCCAGTGGTTCTTGAGAAGAAGATTTTCAAAGATTTTTCCTTTATATTTCTATGTAAAACTTTGATTTCCAATTGTGGCCCCGCCCAACCCCGGGGGATCATGATTTGAACAATTTAGAATCTAAACTACCCTGGAATGCTTCCACATAAGTTTCAGCTTTTCTGACCCAGTGGTTCTTGAGAAGAAGATTTTCAAAGATTTTTCCTTTATATTGCTATGTAAAACTTTGATTTCCCATTGTGGCCCCGCCCAACCCCCGGGGGTCATGATTTGAACAATTTAGAATCTAAACTACGCTAAGATGCTTCCACATATATTTCAGCTTTTCTGGCCCAGTGGTTCTTGAGAAGAAGATTTTCAAAGATTTTTCCTATATATTTCTATGTAAAAATTCCCCATTGTGGCCCCGCCCAACCCCGGGGGGTCATGATTTGAACAATTTAGAATCTACACTACGCTAAGATGCTTCCACATAAGTTTCAGCTTTTCTGGCCCAGTGGTTCTTGAGAAGAAGATTTTCAAAGATTTTTCCTTTATATTTCTATGTAAAACTTTGATTCCCCATTGTGGCCCCGCCCTACCCCCGGGGGTCATGATTTGAACAATTTAGAATCTACACTACGCTAAGATGCTTCCACATAAGTTTCAGCTTCACTGGCTCAGTGGTTCTTGAGAAGAAGATTTTCAAAGATTTTTCCTATATATTTCTATGTAAAACTTTGATTCCCCATTGTGGCCCCGCCCTATTGATTTGAACAAAGAATACACTACCCCAGGATGCTTCCAAATAAGTTTCAGCTTTTCTGGCCCAGTGGTTCTTGAGAAGAAAATTTTCAAAGATTTTTCCTATATATTTCTATGTAAAACATTGATTCCCCATCGTGGCCCCGCCCTACCCCCAGGGGGTCATGATTTGAACAATTTAGAATCTAAACTACGCTAAGATGCTTCCACATAAGTTTCAGCTTTTCTGACCCAGTGGTTCTTGAGAAGAAGATTTTCAAAGATTTTTCCTTTATATTTCTATGTAAAACTTTGATTTCCAATTGTGGCCCCGCCCAACCCCGGGGGATCATGATTTGAACAATTTAGAATCTAAACTACCCCGGGATGCTTCCACATAAGTTTCAGCTTTTGTGGCCCAGTGGTTCTTGAGAAGAAGATTTTCAAAGATTTTTCCTTTATATTGCTATGTAAAACTTTGATTTCCCATTGTGGCCCCGCCCAACCCCCGGGGGTCATGATTTGAACAATTTAGAATCTAAACTACGCTAAGATGCTTCCACATAAGTTTCAGCTTTTCTGGCCCAGTGGTTCTTGAGAAGAAGATTTTCAAAGATTTTTCCTATATATTTCTATGTAAAACTTTGATTCCCCATTGTGGCCCCGCCCAACCCCACTTTGAACAATTTAGAATCTACACTATGCTAAGATGCTCCCACATAAGTTTCAGCTTTTCTGGCCCAGTGGTTCTTGAGAAGAAGATTTTCAAAGATTTTTCCTTTATATTTCTATGTAAAACTTTGATTCCCCACTGTGGCCCCGCACAACCCCCGGGGGTCATGATTTGAACAATTTAGAATCTACACTACGCTAAGATGCTTCCACATAAGTTTCAGCTTCACTGGCTCAGTGGTTCTTGAGAAGAAGATTTTCAAAGATTTTTCCTTTATATTTCTATGTAAAACTTTGATTCCCCATTGTGGCCCCGCCCTACCCCCGGGGGTCATGATTTGTAAAATTTGTACACTACCCCAGGATGCTTCCACATAAATGGCCCATTAGAAGAAGATTTTTTAATGACCCCACCCTATTTTTGTCTTTTCTTGATTATCTCCCCCGCGAGGGGATATGTCCCTTCATTTTTACAATTTAAATTTTCCTTCATCCAAGGATGCTTTGTACCAATCAAAAAATGAGAAGAAGTCGAAAATGTGAAAAGTTTCACAAAGTCAAAATTTATAAGAAAAATATGAGCTAAAAAGTAAAATACGAGGTGCACAATGGTATTATGTAATAAAGATTTGAATCTTTAAATTTTATTCAGTGGTACAGGATGAGTTGCGGATAAGAGATGGATACCCTTCAATATTATAGAAAAAATGGGCAGGTCCATGTTTTGGCATGGGAAACCCGAAATATGTGTCCGATCGAAAAGAAAAAATAGTAGATGCAGCATGTGCATTGGCACTATGTAACAAAGATTCTGTGAAAGTCTTCTTAAATGTGGTATGTGGAGTTGTGGATAAGACAGACTGACGAACGTACAGACGGACATCCCGATCACTATATACCCTCCCGTTTTATAAGCGGTTGGTATAATAATTTTGTAATTGTTGGTTACCAAACGCATATGGCTCAGAAATCTGTTCTGTGTTTTATAATGACTTCAACGCTTACTCGTCTATTTTTTGTCACAGATAAACTTTCATACCCTCACACCCTCCCCGCTTAAAAAGTGGGAGGGTATGTACTGTACGTCCATCCGTCTATACGCTTTATTGGGGTATTTTGCAACTCATCGTGTATCACTTGCACCTCCTATTTTACTTTTTGATCGGACACATGTTTCCCGTATTCCATATTAAAAAATGGACGCTGTCATTCTTTCCATAATATTAAAGGGTACACATCTCTTATCCGCAGCTCTACATATACCACTGAATAAAATTAAATGATACTTTCACAAAGTCTTTATAACATAATACCATTGTGCAACTCTTATTTTTTATCTGACACTTATTTCGGGGGGTTTCCCAGAGCAAAACACGAACTTTGCCATTATAATCAAATGGGAGGCAGGGTATCATTTAGTGGGCTTGAGCTCAGTGCTCACTATTCCTCTATAGTTTTATCTTATAAATGCACATTCCATATATTTATTTTGTTTGTAAAATTCTTTTTCATGATTTTTTTTTTATTGAGAAACAGAAGTTAAGCAAAAACTATAATGTTATATTGGTTTGGTTTCCCAGATAACTTGAAATAACTTTTGCGAAAATTCATATAAATTTCTACATGTACATATATACTTATATATTTCCTTATGAATTTTTTTTAATCTTGATGTAACGAAAATCGAATCTTCATCCTTTGCAATATTTGGCCACATATTTAATATACTTTTTGGTTTAAAAAAAAGACTTTTAAGAATAAAAATATTGAAAGTTTAAATCTTCCGAAAACAGAAACCAAGAATATATAATGTCTTGTTTATTATTCTCATTTTAAGAGTACACAAATTTACATGTAATAATTATGTAAGAATCATTGATCAATTATTTATAAATGAGTATCACCTAGCTATAAAATCAGATTTGCTAGAAGTCAGTAGTTTAAGTGAAGATGTTTACAGATTGTGTTACATCACACTTCATTTATATAATGGCAGGAAACTAAGGCGACAAATGGACCCCCTTGTATCAGCTCACTGGTTTTATCTTAATAAACTCCTCGACTTTTATTTCTATTTTAAATTGGATTTCTGATTAAATGACATAGAGACTGTTTTTGAGCGCCTGGGGACGTGATTTGTCGCACTTTTCTGTACTACATCGACACCTTCATTATCTGTTATCGCTGTCTATCTACAGGTAGATACGAGGTAAGGTGAGGGTGGACCACGCCCCCCTAACCCGGGTCAACAGCGCGGGAACCGGTATTGTCATGTAACATACACAAAATGTCAAGTGTCGTTCGCGCATTTTCACGACAAAAGTATCATTTTCCACAAAATCTTACATGGTGTATTACTGCTAAACAGGTTTCAGCT